GCACGCCTCTGCCGGGCACGCCCTGCACTCGCCCTCGCTGCCTCTCCCGCACCCGGCCAGGTACTTGCCGTCCTCGCAAGCGATCGCACTGCAGTTGCGACATGTCGTGTCTGACGTCCCGTTGCAGCCTCCGGCCTTGTACTCGCCCTCCCCGCACTTCCGACATCCCCGGCACGTCCCTGCCAGCCCAAGCAAGAGTCAGTCTCCCCTCCCCTCTCGGCCCTGCCCTGCCCTATTCCCTCTATCAGCCCCCTTCCTCGCTTGCCCTTGTTCTTCCGCTCCAAGCCTTTGCCCTCCCCGTCCCCTACTCTGGCCCTCCTCGTCTCTACCCTGCAGCTCCCACTGCTTGCTTACCGTTGCTCCGCCCTCCGCAGCCTGTCAAGTACTCCCCGGCCCTGCAGCTCCCGCACCCTGTGCACGTCCCGTTCGAATGACCCCCGCACCCGGTCAAGTACTCCCCGGCCATGCACGCCTCTGCCGGGCACGCCCTGCACTCGCCCTCGCTGCCTCTCCCGCACCCGGCCAGGTACTTGCCGTCCTCGCAAGCGATCGCACTGCAGTTGCGACATGTCGTGTCTGACGTCCCGTTGCAGCCTCCGGCCTTGTACTCGCCCTCCCCGCACTCCCGACATCCCCGGCACGTCCCTGCCACCCCAAGCAAGAGTCAGTCTCCCCTTTCCGCCCTGCCCGGCCCTACTCCCTCCGACCCCTTCTCGACCTCGGTCCCGTGCGCCCAGCCCCTCCCCATCACCGTCCCGTAATCTGGCCCTCCTCGTCTCTACCCTGCAGCTCCCACTGCTTGCTTACCGTTGCTCATGCCCTCCGCAGCCTGTCAAGTACTCCCCGGCCTTGCAGCTCCCGCACCCTGTGCACGTCCCGTTCGACTGACCTCCGCACCCGGTCAGGTACTCCCCGGCCATGCACGCCTCTGCCGGGCACGCCCTGCACTCGCCCTCGCTGCCTCTCCCGCACCCGGCCAGGTACTTGCCGTCCTCGCAAGCGATCGCACTGCAGTTGCGACATGTCGTGTCTGACGTCCCGTTACACGAAATGCTTTCAAATTGATTATCTGAACAACTTGAGCAAGACGTACATCGACCTGCAGCAAGACTAAACACGACTCCCCTCCCCTCTCGGCCC